CAGTGCAATTGGAGAAACTGGAAAGCGAAGGGATGAAACTCATTCCCTTGGCTTGGGTTGTTGAATCCCGAAAATCAGAACTGCGTCGTTTGAGAATTCCTCCGTTGACAACGGCCGAATGTTTGGCAGATGTAGATGGCAGATTGCTCAGGGAAAAAAAATTGGACTCTCCTTTCATTAGAAGTATGCTGACGTCCTCATGATTGCTCCCTTCGCAGGGCTCTCCCCACATCCATTCAGGCGGTCGGGGATCCCACAGCGATGGTCAAGCTTAAAATTGCTTCATGGAATGTCAGGGGGTTGGGGGAAACAACAGGCAGGCATAAGAAGGACAGAATAAAATCGTGGGTGTTTGAAAACAACATTCAGATTATAGGCTGAGATTGAGGATTTTTATTCTGATCTGTGGGGAAGATGGTCGTGGATCAAATGCTATATGGAGAGCTGTTATTGGATTTTTGTCAGTATTTATGCCCCGGTGGACTCTAAAGCTAGAGCAAATTTCTTCTCAGAACTGATATTGCTTATTCCCGAGGGTGATAAGATAATTATCGTTGGTGATTGGAACGTTACCCTTGACTCCTTGCCTGATGCAAGAGTCACAGGGGACAAGATCGCCCTAGATGTACTGATGGAAGACATGGATCTCATTGATCCCTTTCGCCTTATGCATCCAGAAGACGATGGCTTCACATGGTTCTCTCACTATCGTGAGGCCACAGGCATAACCAAAAGACGTCTGGACTATTTCCTTACCTCTGCAAATGTTTGGGAATCTGTCGAACATCTGCAATCACGATACCACCCGATGTCCGATCACTACCCGATCATGATGACATTAATAACCGCTGAAATATCACGAGGAAAAGGTCTGTTTAGGTTTAACACTCAGAACTTAAATGAACCTGGCCTCGTTGACTGGATGAAGAAATTCTAGGCCGATTGGGCAATCTCTCGTCCGAATTACACTACGATAGCGGAGTGGTGGGGCGCAAGGTCTACAATTTTTTCCAATCTGTTAAATGTTTTCTCGAGGATTCTCGCTTTTGAAAGAGATAGGAAACTTGTGAATCTTCAAAAGAAGGTGGCTTATGCTGAATCCAGGATGTTGGAACACCCCGTCTCTGAGAAGGTATGGGGTAGAGAGAGAGTTAGGCTGCTCTCCGAATGGGATAATATTCAAGTAAAACAGTCAGAAATCTAGGAAGAACGACTTCGTATAAAAGGCATCATAGTAAATGATCCTATGACCAAGGACACATTCCAAAAGTTGCTTCCAAGAAGGTCATCCGCGCCTATGAAAGAACTTAAACACCCGTTTGACGAAGTTGCTCCGAAGGCTAGGGAACTCAAGGACCTCTGTGAATATGTTGCATTATATTACAAGGATGTCTTGACCTCACGCAAACAGACTCAGCAGGTTGGTAGCACTCTGTACGAAACAACTACACATTGGGTGAATACAACTGCTCGCCTCTTGGTCCCAGGCAGACTCAACCTAGACCGTCCGGTCTCCGCTATTGAAGCCCCGGAAGCTCTTAAAGCTATGCCTTCAGGAAAAGCTCCAGGAGACGATGGCCTCCCAGTGGAATTGTATGTAGTTATTTGGCCTGAAATTGGCGAGCACTTAACTGCAATCTATAATGACGTATTAGGGGGGGGCAGGCTATCTGCAGGCATGTGCAGAGGCATCATTCGGTTCTATTCAAGAAAGGGGACAAATCGGAAATATGCAATTAGCGTTCGATTTCTGTCCTAAATGTATCGTACAAAATACTGGCGAAGGTTCTCGCCAGGCGCCTGACACAATACATGCCCTCCTTAGTGCTTTCGGATCAAGCAGCTTTTGTCAAAGGCCGCTCAATTTTCGATAACATCATGACCGCTATCGAAACTTTGGAGATAGTACAGAATGAAAATTTGGACATTGCCGTCCTGTTGCTAGACTTAGAGAAGGCGTATCACCGAGTTAACTGGTCATACGTCCTCACTACTCGGAACTAGATGGGGTTTGGCCAAAATTTTTGTCTATGGACCAAAATGTTGTATACACTATCGACAGCAGCGGTAATGGTGAATGATCGACTCTCAGGGGAATTCTCCTTGACGCGCTCTTTGCGTCAAGGTTGCCCACTCGCGCCTCTGTTGTTCGCCATCCAGATGGAAGGAGTCTTGAACAATATTCGTGCTCACTCCCAAATTATTGGCCTAAAAGCAGGTCCCACTCCGCTCAAGGTGAAAGCCTTGGCAGATGACCTATTTGCGGTGTCTCATAACACCCCGGATTCTCTAGCCGCGCTGAAATCTTGCCTGGACGAGTACTCAGAATTGTCGGAAGCAGCCCTCAACTGGCATAAATCTGTCTTTTTTCTGCCGAAGGAATTCTCATTGTGTGTTGAATGGGGTATGAAACACATTAAGGATGATGAATCAGAACGGTTCCTATGGGTTTAGATCGCAATGAAGTACTACCCTGAGATGCAAGAAAGCATCATTACACAAAAAGTGTTTCTCCGTTTGAACACATGGGGCAAAACCCCTCATCTGTCCTTGTTCGAACGAGCCTTGGTAGTGAATACTGCACTTTTTGCATTATTATGGTACGCAGGAAGAGTCCGTGGCTAGAGCAACCTTTCTTATTCTCTCATAAAACGGCGCTCGGCAAAATTGATCTGGAAACCCTACGCAGAAGAAGGGGAGTCGATTATATCAAAAGTTACTTGGGACATGCTCTCCTACCCTCGAGAAGAGGGGGGTTTGGGCATATTGGATCCTAAGAGACAGATTATGGCGATGCTTTGCGCCTGGGTTATTAAAGCAGGACTTTCCTCCCCGGCCCCTCATTGGGTATGCCTGCAGGAAATGATTTTGATGCGTGAATGGAACCTGAGCCGCCCGGAAGATGTTTGAACCTGTCTCTAGCTATACTCGTATCAGAGACGACAGATTAAATCCCCTCTATGGGCTATTATTATCCAAGCTTGGAAAAAGATCAGACCAAACGTATGGACTGAGCCTCAAACAAAAGCTGAAGTTCTATCTCAGCCATTGTTTGAAAACCCACGAATCCGTGACCAAGCGGGGGAGTGGTTTAAGGCAGATTCCTCGACAAGTAGTTTTGGCCGATCATGGATAGAGAGAGGGATACTGCGTATCAAGGATTTGTGGGATCTGATTATGGGGACATGGAGGACAGATGAAGAGCTGAGACAAGACTTGGGTCAGGTAAGTCAAATAAAGGACAAGAAACTGTCCCTTATTGATGCGATCCCTCTATCCTGGAAGCATATTTTAGCGCCAGGGGAGATTGACCCTCCGGGCACTTGGTTCGCCAGTTCAGTTCCCCCTCTGCAGGAAGTCTGGAAACTGAGCTCCATTGATGAAAATGGTCAGAGGAATTTTCAATGCTGGTCCGTCGTTTAGTCAAAACTCGTAGAGGCAGAGGAGGTGAATTCCTCCCCTCCACTGGGCACGACATTACAACAGATTAAAGTGTTTGAATATTTGAACCCTGATGATTCGGTATCCTGCCAACTGTTCAATCAAGGTAAGCCAATTCTGCAGTTAAAACTGGACCCTGCTCAATGGGAATGGACTATCAAAGGCCCAAGAGGCTTGAACACCAATCTCGCTGAATACACGTTGAAAATTGGATATACCATAAACCAGCCGTTGAAGCAACCCAGCGTGGTAGCACGTGCCAGATAGGCTTAACTTCTGCAAATAAGTGATACCGATCTGGATCAAACACTGTCTTCTTTTTGGGCTCAGCTGCCACAACTTCCAAATCAGAGACGTGCGTCTCTTTTATGGCTAGTCTCGTTAGTATCAACCCCCTCAGCGGTTTGGCTTGCTGAAAGGGGTATGAAAATTGAATTGAAATGCCTCAGATCATTCCATTAGGCATTTGAATCTTTCACCCACTTATTGTGGGATTGCCCGACCTCCAGCAGATTTTGGAATTGGATTATAAAACACTGTAGCAGTGTCTCGAACACTGCATTTGGTTGGTCCAAGGAATGGACCCTGCTGGGAGGCCTCCTAGTCGGCCTCCCTAGCTCCAAAGGTTGGGGCTATGTTGCCCAGATCTTTCGGGCCACAGGCTTTGCAGTCATATGGCAACACCGTAACGACACTGTGTTTGAGGAGAAAGATTGGACCAACAAGCAGTTTCGCAACACCTTCTGCCTGTGGATCAGACGAGCTATCTATGCAGATTGGAGAAGGAAAGTCAGACCTGCCAAGCTATCACTGTCGGGCCTGCTGCGGTTTCAAGAGACAGGGGCAGCGGGCAACACCATAGCTAAGGTGGAAGGTAATCATTTTTCTCTCTGTGGCTGGTTGCTCCAGGACTGATCGGATAGGTTCATTCTCAACCTGGCTTGCTCGGTTATTTAGGTACACTATGGTTTGAGTCGCAGTAGACAGGCAGTATTGGCAAAGACTAGAGGTGGGAGCAGCCTTTCCCCGATATCAGGGGCAGAGTTAAGTGTTATAGGCCTACGGACCGTTCTTTAAGAACTTTTTGATAATGTAGTAAGCTATGATTGAGTGCGGATATATAGACTATTAGATAAAGATTAGTTCCCTCCCCTTAGTTTCCCTCACTTCCCTATGTAGTTATTAGAATGAATTCTAGTGTTTGATACCTTTTATCCTTTTGGTCTTATAACCAGATAGATATATAGTTGAGTAGTTTTTAGATAATAGGGTCGCAAGGATACCTTCCTTGGTGTGGACTTGAAGGTTAGGTGGCGACTTCCTTGGTGGGCTCCCGCCCCTTTTTGGGTTGTGCTGTTTTTCTAGGCCGAGATGGTGTTGGCTTTGTTATTTTTTTCTTTCTTTCCTAGGGTTGGGGAATGTCAGTGCAGCGGTCAGGATTCGGCCATTTCTGCTACTGGACTATAATCCCCAACGCCTGCACCATAAGCTGGGTAATGGAGGTAACTAACCCTGGGTAACAGAGTTAATAATAGGGTTAACTCACCCTGGGAAACAGAGTTAATAATAGGGTTAACTCAACCCTGGTGTAACAGAGTTAACCAGAATATATGTGTTTCTGTGCAGGCGAAACAACGCACTGTGCCATCATGATAAACGCCAAGTTATCAGTATGCTGCTCGTCTTCTGCAGCTGCTGTGCCACCGACGGCGCTTCGACACCATGAAAGGCGGTTGCAGGCGGAGGATGTATTTGGACGAAATGCCGATGCACAGCTCGATTCCGCATGTGTTTCTGCTGAAGGGTCGGCGACCCGATTACGCGGGGGGTGCTCTCCATTGCGTTGCGCTGGCGCCTCAGGCCTGCTGACGCGTCGTGCCCCTCAGGCTTATTTCCTGAGACGGCAAGCGCACGGCCACACGGAGGACAGCTCTGTGAACCTCAACTGTGGGTGCTTGTTGCAAGACGCGTGGAGGCCAAGGGAACATGTGGTGTCTGCTTGGGCGCCTTTCTTGTCGCCAAATGACTCACAAGGGGGGGCGATTGGTCCCAGGCTATCAAGGTATGGCTTGCTACTTGGGTGGGGGGCAAAGCCTACTCTCATTCTCACTAGATTTGCAAATCTACCCTTGGTTTCTAACCTTGCCTCCTACTAAGTCTGCCCCTTAGTTTCTCACTACTATCCCTCCTAAGTCTACCCCTTAGTTTCTCACTATGCCTCCTAAGTTGACCACGCTTAGTTTAGTTTTTCACTATGCCTCCCTAAGTCTACCCCACTTAGTTTCTCACTACGCCTCCTATTTCTCATCATGCCCCTCCTATATCTCATTATGCCTCCTAAGTCTACCACTTCGTTTGTTTTTCTCATTATGCCTCGTAACTAAGCCTACCACTTCGTTTTTTTTCCTTTTCATTATGCCTCCTAAGTCTACCCTACAACTTCGGTTCTCACTATCCCTCCTAAGTCTACCCTACAACTTAGTTTCTCACTATGCCTCCTAAGTCTACCACTCAGTTTTTTTTTTTCAGTATGCCTTCCTAAGTGTACCATTTAGTTTCTGACTATGCCTCTGAAGAGTCTGAAGTCTTCTACCAAGTTTTTCTCAGTGCTTGGGTGAGGACAAAGTCTTCTTTCTTTCTACCATGTGTGCCCAAAGTCTACCACTTAGTTTCATTTTTTACTCGTCTGTTTTTTTGTGATCACAGGCCGTGTAAAAGGTGGTCGCAATGCACGTGCCACCTGGGCGGGACTGGTCTATCTGTGGCCCCACCTACACTGGATGATAGTGAGAGTGATGGCTGCGGCTTCGAACTCCTTGAGGCCAACATTCTGCGGTGTTCAGGTGGAGATGCAGCTGGATCGGATTTTGACGAACTCGACGCTACCTCAAGCGCGCAGAGGAACAACAACCACAGAGTAACAGACTGGGACAAGCTTCCGGGCGATGATGAAAGTCCACCAAGATATGACAAATCTGGCGCTGGCCGTCTCCGCTGTGATGATGACAGCACACTAGCTTCACTACTACCGTCGGTGATTCAGGTTGGTCAAAATGAACCATCACCCCAAAAAAAGGCAAAAAAAAGAGAAAAAAAAGAGAAAAAAAGAGAATAAAGAGAATAAAGAGAAAAAAGGAGAAAAAAGAGAAAAAAGAGAAAGAAAGAGAAAAAAAAGAGAAAAAAACGAGAAAAAAAAAAGAAAAAAAAGAGAAAAAAAAGAAAAAAAGAGGAAAAAAGAGGAAAAAGGAGAAAAAAAAGGGAAACAAAGAGAAAAAAGAGAAAAAAGAGAAAAAAAAAAGAAAAAAAGAGAAAAAAGAAGAAAAAAAGAGAGGAAAAAAGAAAAGAACATGATTGCAGTGGAGGGCAAGAAGCACACATGCATGCCCACACAGAGGGACACACACGAAATGCACATGGGTTGTGACACTTGTCTAGCAAAAGATCTGAGGGACAAATGAGTAAGTCGAGAAAGCTAACAGTTGAAGCAGACTCATAACTTAACTTCTTCGATCTTTTACGCCTCTTTTTCGTTACTTCTCCCTCCCTCCCTCCCTCCCTCCCTCCCTCCCTCCTGGTGGTCTTAAACATCATTTTCTTGGGCACACCTTATGAAGACTTTTCTAATGGCAGGCAAACAACTTAACTTTTTCGATGTGTGTACGTGCGTGTCTGTATGTGTTTGGAATCTTTGGATGACCATCGAGGAGTGAAGGTCCAGACAAAAGAGGAGCAGGAACAACTGTCGGGGACAGCAGCTCACCCGCGAGCACTTCAAGGTTGCACATACGACCGTGGATTTCTCGTGGATTTCCTATTCTGAGTGCTTTTTTTTTTTTTTTTTTTTTTTTTTTTTTTTTTTTTTTTTTTTTTTTTTTTTTTTTTTTTTTGAATGCCTTTGAAAACTTTTCAGTGTTTTCAATGTTTTAATTTAGTTTTCCTCGTGTTAAAAAAAATAAAAAATGTTTCAGATTAGAATTGAGAGATGGATATAGGGCAGCCGCCGCTCAACCTACATCCACGTGGGCGGCCTTGTACGCAAGAGGTTCTGAACAGGGGGAGTTGTAAAGAAGAAGATAAAAAAAATGAATTCATTTTTTCTTGGTTTTCTTCGCTTTTGTGCTCTGATATCTTGTGATAATATATATGTATATTTTAAGTGTCATAAACTGACAGTCTGACACCCATTGAATAGATTGTAGGTGACCTTTTGTTCTGAAATTCTAGTTTTTTTTTTTTTTTTTTTTTTCCCTTTAGTGCGTGTCATCGTTGCGCAGGGGCTATGCCAATCTTCTCTGTATCGTTCAATTTTAACAAATGTCCCTCTGTCTTTTCTGTTTTCACTTCAAATTTTAAAAACAAAAGGGACTTTGTTTTTAAATTTTGTTTTGTTTTTAAAATTTGAACGTGGAAACAGAAAAGACAGAGGGAGAAAATATTGGCGCACCCCCGTTATCTTTGCTTGGTGATGTCACTACCAGACTACCACAGCAGCCAAAACAGCCCTTTGCTTGGCGATGTCACTACCAGACTACCACAGCAGCCAAAACAGCCCTTTGTAATATTAGATAGAAAACAGGAAAGAAAGATTTAAGATTTCCATCATGAGATACAATGAAACGTCATCACAAAAAGCCACGAGAAAGTTAAAAAAAAAAATAATAATAAAAAAAATAAAATAAAAAAATCAGCACCATCAATTAACCCAGCATGTCAAAATTCCCAAAACTTTGCACATATTATAATAACCTGTTCTCTAACTTGACAGGTTAGAAGAAGGTCGGTCTCTCCCTCTCGTGCACGTATCTGGTGAATCTGGTCCTATCCTCAGTCTATATTCTTGAGTTCATTTGAAGTCCAAGAATAGAATTGACGATGTATATGTCAACTGTAAATATCTATAGAACTGTGTATGTGCTATCTTCTTAAGTGTCTATACTATAGTATTCTATGTGGCATGTGCTAAATTACAATGTGTCAATAGACTCCTATATATGCTGAACTTAAACTGTGCCAGTGCATGGCCCAAGGCAACTTGAGAAAAAAATGAATGGCTCACCACTAAAATTCCAGAGGCTCGGGGCTGCGGGACCACAATGTCCGACGGCGCCACCTAAAAAAAGAAAAAAAGTGTGCTGCTGGCGGTTCAGCAAAACTTGGCGCACAGTGCGAGTCTGCCAGCCTCGGGTGTACTGATGGTTTGAGTAGTATATATTGTCACATCACTACAATATATGTTAAAGCGTCAAATAAACTGCCCGGTAAACCGTAGGCAGAGAGGGAGAAGAGGACAACAAACGAGGGGCTGTGACAAACTGTTTCGTCGGAGTTTCACCGACTCATCAGGAGGCTGAACCCTCAACAGTCTGTAGAATCCCCTCACTGAT